CTGGAGGCTACTGCTGTGGCTGGGCACCACGGTGGGTAAGGACTAAGCTCACCCGAGTCAGCACCTGCTGACACACTGATAGCGAGTCGACATACGTCGGCACAGGCCGGGCTCCCCCATAGCCCGGGCGAGGTCCACAGCTTCGCATATCGGACTTACTAATATTACTCACTTCCGAATCAGTATCTTTAAGCAATTTTTTGTTACGCATTACATAGTGATATGTGTACACATTATATATTCTATCCATTTACTCTCGACTGTTATTACTACGACTGACATTCCCACAATTCATACATAATTCTCGTACCACAGTTCCAGTTACATCATTTGCCAAACTGCTCTACTACCCGATCATTATCATATAAGTTATCATGAAGTTTGATATCAATATGAGATGGTATCTAAAGCAAATTAATATTAATAACCTAACGATAAAATCTATTACGTTTGTGTCTTGTAGAACAAACAAGCCCCGTGGCATCATTTTTAGGAAAGTTTAATGCATAAAATGAAGAGAAGGAATCAGTCAACAGTGAGTGTATTTGTTTCTGTTTGATCAGCTGTTCTCAGAGCAACAATTAATTAACTCAGCTGGAGAATCGATTTCAAGTTGTTGAATCTGATAACAACTTTATGACGTTGCCTATTGCCAATTGTGTAGAGCAGTGAAACACCCAGTTTCCTGAACAACTATCGAGAATGAGTTACCTGTTCCCTGTAAGACCTACGATTTTTATTTCACAATTTTCTCTTTATTAAAACCTCCAACTAACATTTCCCCTTCTTGTTGCCTCATACATTACCCTTACACTCAGATCTGCATATGTCCAATCACACAGCACGACCTTTCACACGCACCCGAACACAGTCTATATTGGGAATAGATGCAGCCATAGTTGGTATAGAAAAGATATCTTTAACAAACAGACAAACAAACGACACCGCCCATTTCACCAGCGACTCTCCCTTGCATAACGTGAGACATCCTCCTCCTCCTATTCCTTCTCCTCCTCCTCCTCTTCATCTTCCTCCTCCTCCTCCTCCTTCTTCTTCTTCTTCTCCTTCTCCTTCTCCTTCTCCTTCTTCTTCTTCTTCTCCTTCTCTTCTTCTTCTTCTTCTTCTTCTCTCTCCTCCTCCTCCTCCTCCTCCTCCTCCTCCTCCTCCTCCATCCCCTCGCCCCCGTGCATATCATTTTCCTCTCTCCACAATGCCTTCAGAACCTCCAGAACCACTAACACATCCTTCCTCCCCTTATTCTGTCGTAACCAAGTTTGGCGGCAGTTTGAAGCTATGAAGCCAGACATAGATTCCCTGATCAAGGAAATTGAGGAATACATAGTATCAACGGGGATGCCGAGATCAGTCAACGCTTTCGATAAGAAACGATTGAATGCTGTTCATTCCCATTTTTTTTTTTTTTTTTTTTTTTTTACCTTAGCCCACGTTTCATGCCTATGACCATCAACCTATCCCCTCCTGCGAATTGTTTAAACAAGAATTTGGCAATCTATTCAGAAGGTAATGGTGACCTGGATTGTGTTGATGGTGATCCTAAAAAAGGGGGATGCTATTATAACAATGGTGATGATGATGACAATGATGATGATGAAAGGGATAGTGATGACGATTATGATCGTGAAGACGGTAATGATAATAAAAATGATGGTGACGACAATAATGATGATAGGGATAACAGCGAAGATAATTACACTTAAGATAATGAAAATGACATTTATGATGAAGATGATAACAATGCCGAAGATGGTCATAATCTAATATTGATATACGTATGATCTAGAAATGACGATGGTAATAATGACGATGATGACAACGATAATGAAAATCAGGATGCGAATGAGGAAAGGAATGATAGTGAAAAAAACAGTCAGATTAACGGTGATGATAAATAAATTACGATGATTTATTATTTAATGAATATATTAATAGTATATCAATTTAAAAATCAAATTATATGATAACAGTAACACTGATATTACGGTGTAATTCCAACCTAACAACAGTGATCACGCTTATGATAAACTTGATAATGATTGATGGTATAATGATAATAATGACAGCTGTGTTCCGTGCCCACTGATATAGAATTCACTTTTTTTATAATCTGAATAATCTTAAATAATTCAAAATAAAACATCAATCGGACTACAAAGAAAAGCCTGAACACAATGTAAGAACTATTAACTGAAGTTAAATTACTTCATTACCCATAATATCCAACAAAACGTATTATGTTGCCAATTGTGTGTGGGAGTTTAAAAAATTCAATACACTGGCATATTAATAGTAACACTTGTCGCGTAACCACATTAATCTCTTTATCTTGATCTTAATTAATTATTCGCGTAAGCTCCATATTCTCGAGAAACGTATTCGGTGCCTATGTCACACACAAAGCATTATTATTCAGATTGTGATGGAAAACATATTGTGACAGATACCATACTAAACCTGACGTGTACTAGTAAATGTTTTGCTGTATTGTACTAAACTCTATGTACCTAATAGAATCAGATAGCCTTGGGTGTTATAACCCTAATTCGAGATATGACTGAGCACTTTTTTTTCTGTCGACACATGAGGCTACTGCGATTATCTACGATATCTGATAACTAGGCCCTTTTGTAGTAAGCTAACTGCTCGGCTTCCTACTGGTCGACTTTGCCCCCACCCCCACCCCCAAACATTCCCCTGGCGTCGGCCCGTGATAGGAACTGTAGGAGACGGAGAAGACGATGCTGCACAGGATCCTACCTGCTGGAGACGCTGACGAGCGATCGGGACGCCTTGGACGAGAAGCTGTGGTCGATAACTTGATAACTTCGCTGAGTTATCAAGTCTGGTTTCAGAGATCGGATATGTACGGTTTGGAAAAAAAATCAACAAAACTAGCTATAAAAGCTAGCGACGAAGACAGCAAGTGGAAGATTGGTGTCATAGCCTGTGTAATGTTCCTTTCCTCTTGTATTTAATATTATCAGTATAGATTTTCCGTTTCTTTTATTTATATAAAAAAGAGTTTTGTGCTTTTATCCGAGACCTTCTATTTAAATGCTTAATGAAAATGAGTAATCAAATGATAATGAAAGAAAAACTAACTTTTATCCTTTTGAAATTCAGTGTTTTAGCGAAAGAAATACGAAGCTGAGAAGATACACTTTTTTTTTT